GTGCTGCTCCGCTCACCGCAGGGCTCTGGTGCCAGGGCTGGAGCGCCACTCCGGCTCCCAGGTCTCTGCAGTTTCTCCAGCTTTGTGCCCACGGCCTCCAGGCCTCTTATTTCTTCGCATTCCTTCATTCCTTCATTCCTTCATTCCTTCCTCCTTCTCTTTTCTCTGTTAGATGAGCAACAGCGGCCTGCTCGAAGTCCCAGCCGCACGCGAGACGACGAAGCCGGGCAGGGCGGCCGTCTCGCTGTCACCCCACATCTCCGAAGAAGCTGCAGAAGGGAGGAAGCCGGGCGGGGTGTTTCTCAGATTTTCCCGGTGCGGCCCGGGTTCCTGGGAATGTGCAGGAGCGAATGGGAACTTTGAGTCAGAGTGAGTCACGGCGACAGGGGCAGCTGGAAAGTGTGGAGGGAGAGAGAGAGAGAAAGAGAGAGGAAACCAGCTCCCTCGCAGCTGCCAGAGCGGAGGCTGCAGGCAGGAACGCTCAGATGGTGTGCTTTTACGGGCGTAAACAAACGCAGCTCCGCCGCATGTCAGCGTGTGCCTACATGAAACACATCACTGTGAGGCAAACAGCCTTTCGCCTGGGCACCTGCACCTGCCGGTACCCTAAAAGCTGACAACAGCAGAGAACACCTCTGTACGCCAAGGGGGGCGGGAGTGGGGAACAAGCCATCCAGCCATGATGCCAAAACTGAGACCCTGGCGGATCTGGATAGGATCCTCACGTCCATTAGTCACTAACAACCAAAGTCAGAAGCAGCAGATACTGGTTGAAGTAGTTCAGGTGGGGAGCTGCGTCAGCATGCGTAGGCTGCAAAGGAACAAGTAATAGGTTTATTCCATGCTGAAAAGAGAAGAAAGAAAACAACGTTTCGGCAGTAGAGCCTTCTTCAGGTGTCTTCAGCATGGAATAAACCTATTACTTGTTCCTTCAGTAGCAGATACTGCTATGCTTGTGTCTGCTCTGCTATGTATATTACTATGCAAGACTTAAAAAATGTCATTATCTGCCCTACACCTATTGACTGTTGGTATTGACATATGTAGCGGAGCACGAAAGCCACAGGAAAGCAGGTTAGACTAGATTAAAAGATGGGGAAAAGCATTGTGAAGGCGTGACACGTACGAGCCTGTGGATTTACTCTCGGTACGCCTGATCCGTTGATCCCTCTCGCTGTGGAGTGCGCCAGTAGTGACAGAGACTGTCGTGTCTCTGCAGGATGTCTGGGGGAGGAGGGGTGGGGGTGTCACACTGTGCGCTTGGACCCCTGGTTCTCCACACCTGGGGGTTTGTTGACTGGAGGTCCAGAGGAGAGGAACCTCTGATTCATAACACACCTGCGCCAGAACATGCTGTGTGCTGCTCATGGCCTCCCCCCGAACAATAGGCAGGCCTTGAGAGGGAGGAAACCGTGGTGCTGTTTCACTAGGAACTTCCTCTTCCTCCCAGCTCATGGCCTGGTAAGGGGGGGGGAGGCAGGATGAGGCACAGGATGGCTGGAGCTGGGATTTCTGTTTGTTTATGTGTATTTTTTTTTTTGCTGATGTCGTGGGTGATAAGTATTTTTACAGCTGTGGAGAGTGAAGAAGACGCTGGAGACTTGGAGTCTTGCATGGACCCCCAGCAAGGACCCCCAGCTGGCTGCCTGCATGTACAGCAATACCAGTCATGTTCTTCTGCACCAGATTGAGGTTAAAACAAGTGGATTCGCACGGACTGAGAGCATCCCACCGCTGCGGGATTGGATTGGCTGTGGCTGGTGCTTAAGGCGGCCAGGACTGTAACTTTTCCACACGCAAGAAAAGCAAACTTGCAGACATGGAGTTTCGTGCATGACGAAAGCCATCATGAGGCTCTCGCCTGCCAGCCTCCATTCTGCAAGATCTGAGGCACAGACCATTAACGATCTGCTTCAGGTTCCACACATGGGCTTAAAAGTATGTGCGCTTTCCCTGTGAGCCTGCAGGAAATTGAAGATGTGCTCAGCTGATGTCATCGAAGATTGCTGGAGGGCCGAGGGAGGATACAGATGGAGGCAGAGGGGGCAGGATGTGTGTGTGTCATGTGTGGGATCACCCCCCCCCCCCGCTTGCTTTCCAGATATCCCACCACCCCCAGCAGCATCAGCTCACGGCTCCTGTCCAATCACTGCCCGTGGGGTGACGGGACACAGGCTGCAAGATAAGGAAAAACAGCCCTTCGTTTAAACCACACTCGCGTCCGTAAGAGTCATGTGCAAGGAATCTTCCTCCACGAGCTCCTAGAGACGCCTGCGGTTTCTTGCCTCTGTTTTGAACATGATCCCATAGGTATGAGCTCACTGGAAAAAAAGTTACCAGGAATTTCTGCACAGCCTTGCTGGAGGATGTACCAGAGGCAGTGATTTGTTTTCATGCTTTCCTAAGGGAGTGCAGATGGAGTTTTCCCATAGAAACTCCGCTAATCAATTTTGCTCCCCCCATCTCCCTCATTTTCCTTTGCATGTTCCATTTCCTTACTGTGCAGGAAAATGTGACCATGCATTACGGCTTCTCCACATTCCGTTTCTAACAGGGTAGTGTTTCACAGTAATTATAAGCTTTCGCTGCAGTGACTCGCAGTGTTAGGACATTCAGCTCATCGAGCCCATTTGAGTGTTAGTCAACAACTGATACAGGTTTTGGGTTCGGTCAGCATGGCTGGATAGTCTGTTCCATACTCCTATAACCCTTTTTGTAAAGGTATGCCTACTGTTCACAGATTTACATGCATTCCCATGCCATTTCCTTTTTTTTTTTTTAGCAGTCTAGTGTGGTAGGACGGCACGAAACATTTCCACCCTTTAGTTTCATTGATACAGTGCTCCGGAAACATCAGGACAGAAAAGCACAAAATAATCTGTGTTGTGTTTTTGGCCAGTCTCATACGTAAATATGGAAGCCTATTAGCAGCACGGAGGGAAAAAAATCTGCTTCCATACGTCCATTTGATTATAGCAGAACAAGGTCTACTATATGAGGTCTGCTTAGTTATTTCAGGTGATTTTGAGAACTGGGACACAGCCAGGTGCAGAGTATATAAGTCAGTTTTCTGTTTCCTGTCCCTCTCTGTGTGAAATTGAGCGTCTTTGTGTTATCATTTAGATGCTTTGTTACAGCCGCTTTGAGTTCTTGCCTGTTCTAGGGGTGTTCTTCCTTCAGTATTTTACAGGTATGTTATTTGCAGTCTATGTACTGGCTTTGTTACTCTGTTCTCCTCCTCACTGATAACTGGTGTGTGGGGAGTGTACTGGTGCATTCTGGCTGCTGTCACATCATCCAGGTGGGGTGTCACACTGGTGGGGGTGGAGGGGATCCCCATTACCTGTAAAGCGCTTTGAGTGGAGTGTCCAGAGAGGCGCTTTATGAGTGTAAGGAATGATTATGATTATGATTATTATTTAAAATGCTGCTCAGTTATATTTATGTCTGGAAATTGACTTGGACAGTCTCAGATTTTCTCCTTGGCTCCGTTGGCTGTATGTTTTGGGTTACTGTGATGCTGTATGGCGTGGCGCGGAAGCACTTTCTTCTACGTAGGCAGACAAAACGTTTCTGTTCACTTCAGAACTCACCCTGCTGCAGCTGTCATCGGTTACATCGACGAGGGAGTTGGTTCCAGAGGGCGGCCGTGCCGGTTTTGCCTCGGTGGTCTCAGGGACACTGCGGGGCTCTGTACTGGCCTCGGAGGGCCCTGTATTTCTATAGTAAAGAGCCTGAAAAGACCTCATCTTGCAGACTCTCCTGCTGGGTGGCCCATGCCTGAACACTGACCTCGCAGCAGCACCTGGTCTGAAACTCAGGGCCTTCAGCGGACACACACAGTGTTTCGTGTCTTAGAAGCCCTGTGCATTTTTTTTAGCCTGAGTTTCCACGTGGGAAATGTCTAATCTGCTTTTGTGTCTCAACGCTCTCCTGGCCTAGAGCTCCCGGGCCTCATTTCCTGCGATTCTTCGACAG